AATATTCAACTACTGTTATGTGCCATATTAATGATGCTTCAATGATGGGTCATCTTTACTATGATAGTCAGATAAGATTGTAATGAGCTAGAAAATACCTATCACCTAGTGACATCACAGCCATAACAATCTCATGGCGTGATATTGGTGTAAAGAGACCTACTGTGCTGACAGTCATGTAAAAGTAGGGTACATACAATTATGCGTGGTCTATAGTACTTGATAATCATAATAAATGGCTAGCTAACTGCTTTTTAAAGATATGTTCAAATATCAGCAAAGATGCACCATAATCATTTGGGTCACCCATAGTTCCACGGGTGACCATTTTTCAGATGATTTTCAAAAATTTGTAATAATATAATTTTCCTAGGAACATATGGTCTATAGATTTGGCCCCATTAATGTTTTACCCCCACATTTGGGCAGGGGTAAGCTACAAAGCAGTTACTTAAGCTGAGTAAAACTGCATTCCTTTTGAGGATAAATAAACATTATTTCCCTTATTTTCTTGGATAGTTACATATATTGGACAAGTCCCTAGATAGTTAATGTGAATATTATGTAAGATATATATTACAAGTCATTAATATTCATAGTAAGCTTTACATTTGTGGATATTTTTCCTTACAATAATTGTGTACCTAAAGCTATAGCTCAGTGATAATGGAAAAAAAAAAACCAAGAATTGAACTCTGTGGTTTACTAAGTAGATTATATTGATTTCTCAGAAGTACATGAAAAGTCAATGTTTATATATTATTATGCACTAAATTAAAACTACACATTGTATTCTGGTTTCTCTAGCTATATGGTGAAATGTTATGTCCTTGAACAAACAAGGGATTTTCAATAACCAAAATAACATGAAAAAAGAAAAACACATTTGGAGAGCTTAGACTTCCTGATTTCAAAACTCAGAACCTGTACTTATCAGGACTGTGTGGCATTAGATAAGGATAGACACATAGGTGAATCAAATAAATTCTGAGAGTCCAAAAGTAAACTTTAACATTTATCCAGAATATATAAAGAACACTTATAACTCAAAAACATCATCAACAACAAAATAATTTAACAGTGATTTAACAAAGAATCATAGTAGATGCTTCTCTGAAGAATATACAATGGCCAGTAGGCACATGAAAAGATATTCAACAATGTTAGTCTTTACAGAAATGCATATCTAACCCATAAGATACAACCACTACGAATGGTGATAACCAAGAAGACAATAATGAGTGCTATTGTTATATTATTGCAAATAAGGGCATGGAGAATTGTTGGCAGGTATATAAAATGGTATGGCCACTTTATAAAGTAGTTTGGCAGTTTCTAAAAATATGAAATACAGATTTAACATATGACACAATTCCAATAATTGTGTTCCATATATAATATATGACAAAATATATATATCCTATATATATATATATAATATATACCCAAAATAACTGAAAATATATTCACACAAAACTTGCACACAAACATTTATAGCAGCATTATTCAAATAATCAAATGGTAGAAACAACCCAAATGTCTGTCAACAAATTGAAGGCTAAACAAAATGTGGCATGTCCATACAATGTGAAAAAAGAACGAAGTATTGATATATGCTAAAACATGGATAAATCTAAAGAACCTAAGTGAAAGAAGCCAGTTACAAAAGGATCCTATTCACACAATGTGTCCAGAACAGGCAAATCTATAGTGACAGAAACTATGTTACTGGTTGCATAGCACTGGGTAGTAGGTTGGCAGGGTTGGATGCACAGTGACTGCTAACAGAAATGTTTTTTGGGGGGACAACAAAATGTTCTAAAATCATATTATAGCTGCATAACCATTAATATAGTTTAAAACATTGATTTGTATACTTTAAAGGGGTGACTTCTATGTTATGAAATTATATCTCAAAAAAGCTGTTAAAAATGTAAATGTTACAGTCTGTTTAGTAATAAGGAAATTTTCTGTGGTATAAAACATTATAGTTATCTTAGGTTTCCCTAAGTGGTAGGGGGGTAAACTTTCAATAAATAAATACTATCAATGACAATCCCAAATCAATCATTAATCCCTTTGTTTGAAGTAGTGGACTTAATATTTTTTGGGAGGCCCTAGTGAGATAGTGTAGTTAATTTTTAATATTGAATTTATCTCTTTGCATCCAGCATACTTTAGTTTGTTGTTGGTTGCTTCCCAAAATGACCTCTCTGCCTCCTCTCATCAAAAAAAGAAAAATCACATAAGTGTTGCTTCAACATGTTCATTATGGATAAATTTAGGTTAGAGATCTGTCTCATAGATTAGGGATATTTATTTACCACCTCATTGCTTATACAAGTCACAAGTCTTAGCAGTAAGCTAGCTATGGAGGTCAAAATGATAACTACTGGTATTTTTATACTTTTTGTGGTAACATTTATCCAGATTTGTCTATGAAATTCTGTTCAATTTGTGGCATATTGAGAAAGAGCTACATAAGGAATAAAAAATGAAAAAGTTTTATGGCAATTTAAAAAAGTTATAGTCACCACTGGTCCTACTTACAAGTTTTCCTCCAGGAAAACATTTTGATTTATAGTTCATTTTTAATCTTGGAGCAACTTCTTGTCATCAAGTATACTTCAAATGCCTGGAACATTTTCCTCACCAACCAAGATCTCCCATCCCACCCTAAGAAATGCAGACTAGTTCACATTTAACCTGAGTGCAACATAATTTGGAATCTGGCATTAATATATATAATGCATTTTGAGGAAAAACATAAATTATTTAAAAATATCTGCTGTTTTGCAGGTTTTGGAACATCTGTTTATTAGTACTTAAAATTTTTTTCTACATACTCAAATGTCTCACTCATTTTCTTCAGTCCCATTACTTTTTCTCTTACCAACAATCCAGAATTATTTACAGATGCATCTTATTTCTACTTCAATATCAAGACAAGAAGAAAGAATGATGTTAAGTAGGACTGGATAATGTAGCTCAGTGGTAGAATACACAAGCATGAGACCCTGGATTTGATCCTTAGTGCCACTAAACTAACCAACCACCTAACTAAATAAATAAATAAATAAAAAGGAAGCTAAGTGACCCTAACCTCTATGCTACCTGTAGACATTAAATTTACTTAATAAAAGCATAACTAAGTAAAGTTTAGCATAAACTTAGTAAAGAGGTACGAAAATTCACTAGGAAAAAAAAAGCACAATGAGAGGTTTTTGACTAGCTTTTTATTACTCAGTTTAGGAATGAGTTTTTAATATTATACAGAACACGTCACTTATATACCAGGAGAAAAAAAGTTCTTTATCTCATCGACAGAAATTACCACTACGAATGCACAGTTCTTTAATAGAAACTTTTTGGTGAGGTATGTTTCAGAATTCAGGACTCAGAAGTTTTTCGCAGGTAGGTCTGCTACTTATGCAATGCCATCAGCAAGCTGCACTGTCATGAAACACATTGATGTTTCTGTAGAAAATTTATGGATATGCACACTAGGTCCTTCAATGACACACAGTCTCAGTCCCTCTCAAGCTAGACTTTACTACTAAATGTTAAAGAATCAGTTGATGTCCTCAATGCAAAGGAACTAATGCAGAAACTTTAAAGCGACAGAGGCCAATAAGAGAAGGGGCCCAGGAACTAGAGAAAAGGTTAGTTCAAGAAGAATTAATTTAGAAGGTAAAACACATGCACAGGAAATCAATGCAAGTCAACTCCCTGTATAGCTATTCTTATCTCAACTAGCAAAAACACTTGGTCCTTATTATTGCTTATACTCTCTCTTCAACAAAATTAGAGATAAGGGCAACACAGTTTCTGCCTGGAAGCGAGGGGGTGGGAGGGAGAAGGGGGGAGGGGAGGAGAAATGACCCAAACATTGTATGCACATATGAATAAAAGATATATTAAAAAAAAAAAAAAGAAGTTAGGAAAGTCAGATTAGAGACTGGGACTTGTAATTGCTGTGTTCATTTGAAAACGAGTTCTTTCTACCTTACTTGATAATCTACACCAGAGCCAGTGTAAATTCAAAAAATGAAACAGTAGAAGAAAAAAGAAAAGATGAAAAAGAAACAATGCATTTCAGGTTTAAAATGAAACAGTATATTTTATTTCAGGAGGTAAATGAAAAATGGATTAACCTGTGAAACTACATTAACCCCAGGCGTTCCTGTAGAAGTGGCCCAACTCCACCGGTTAAAAATTCCCTATCTTGTCGCGATAGTAACAACATCCGATCAGGCCCAAGTTTGCAGTGTGAGCCTCCCTGGAGACTGAAGGACTGGAGCAGAGGAATATTGCGGAGGACAGAAGACTGGGCATGACGCAGCGCTGCAGTACGGCTGTCTCAGCCTGGCAAACTTCAGCCTCAAACAAGGGAAAGCGGCCAAGCAGGGATCTGTGGGGTCACTGGTCTCTTGCCAGCACACAGGGTGGACAATAAGATTCCTTTCTAAAACTCTGGTGTAAGTTCTTGCCAGGGCTATAGCGGCGGGAAGGAGGAAGGGAGGCTGGGAGCGGGAAGAAGGGAAACAGGTCTCGCAGGGGTTGGGTGAAGTGGGTCGCAACCATCTGTTCTGTATCGGTTCCACAGGGTTGGGTACCTGCGTGGGAGAAGCGCGACCTGCTCGGAACCTCCTGCGTCACTAGGAACCCAGCACCCAGCTCCCGCAGCTTCCAGCAAAAAGCTCCGCGAAAGCCCGCAAGCCTTTCCCACACCTGCAGCCCACCATCCAACCCCGTCCCTGAGACCGGCGGTGGCGGGGTGGGATCCCGCACTGCGCAGGCCCGGCTCGGCCCCGGACACAAACACGGGGCGGGACTTTCGCGGCTTTCCGTCCAATCGCGTTCCAGTCACGCACGGGGTGGGTCCCTCGAGACTTTTTGTCCAATCGCGTTCTCCTCGCGCACACGGGGCGGGACCCTCGCGGTTTTACGTCCAATTCGCGCTGGTCTGCGGTCCAGACAGAGCTGGCAGGTGGGGCTGAGTGCTGTGGGCAGAGCGCGGAGGCTGGACCTGGGCGGTGAGGACCTGCAGGCCCGCTGAGCCCCATCCCATCCCTCATCTCATCCAGCTGCTCTGGGGAAGGGAAAGTTAAGTGGTGTGGAACTGCGGAGTGCCGGGGTCTGGCTGGGGCGTGGTGTCCTAGCATCTTGCCTGCCGGAGTCCAAGAGGTCCCATTGAAGCTGGGCCGCTGGGCTGGCCGGTCGTGGTGTTTGTTTAGATTTTTGCTCCTTAGTGTCCTCTTGAGTGTGCAGAGTTGTCCTTGCGTTAGTGGGAGGAATCTCTTGAGCTTCCACTGCTCTCTGCTCCGTTGACCCCTTGCCACTGCGACATGCTGCTGGCACAGATACGTAGGCACCGGGAGGTACCTAGCTAGCTTCCAGTGAACCCTTCTAATGTAGGCACAGCTGCCCTAAACCTAGTTAGTGCTATAGTAATTTAATCTTGCCGTTTAGCAGATGGTGTTTCTGCATATTTTTTCAGGGATTCATGAAAGTTTGAGACTTGGTGCCTCCCATCTCCTAAATTGTCTGCCTTCCACCTTCTTTTGCCAGCTTTTGTTATTATTTTTCCTCTGAAATTTTTGTTAAGCTTGTTTTTTCCTTCCCACAGTCACCAGCTTTGTTTAGGGTCCCTGTGGTCTGAAATCAGAATTGTTGCAGCAGGCTCCTGGCTGTCCTAAACAGATCATCTTCTTGGTATACTGGTATGTGACAGTCTATTCCTTTACTTACTGTTCCTGGTTTTCTTTTCCATTGTCTGTGAGTTCATATCATATTGCCCACAGGAAGTTCATTCTAGTTAAATCCATTATCATTTTCTTAATGCTGTTGGAATTATATTAACTTAATCTTTGTGGTTGAGAATTCAAGACAACTATTCAAGAAAGAATCTGATAATTCATATTTTAATGTTACCTGTTGGTGAGCTAAGCACTATGAGTATGAAATTTGTCCTCTTGTTCCCAGTTTCCTAGAGTCTGTTAAGTGACAGGGAAATATAAAGAGAATAGCTTATCTTCTCTGCATGTTTATGTTAGTTTCCTGTTGATGCCATAACAGATAGTCACAAACTTTACATTTAAAACAAAACAAATTTACTATCTCATAGCTTAGATGTGAAGTCTTTGAGTGGGTTTGGCTGGATGATTTGTATAGAATCTCACAAAACTAAAATCAGGGTTTCTATAAGGGCTGGGTTGTTCTCTGAGGCTCTGGGGAGGAGAATCCACTTTCGTTTTCATTCATTTTGTTGGTAGAATTCAGTTCCTGTGCACTCGAAGGACATCTTACTGTCAGTCAGCCCTATGCATCTCAGTTTCTTAAGGCCACCTGTATCTTCAAAGACAGCAGCAGCTCCAAAAAAAGCTTCCAAGTCTGCTCCAAAGGGCTTAACTGATTAGATTAGGTACACCTGGACAATATCCCTTGATTAAGGTCAGTTTAATAGATGATAACCCAATCATGGGAGCACTGATTTCCCTGGGCATTAGGGGTGTGGAATTTGAGGCCATTCATGGGAATCCTGCCTACCATAATATGGTCATCTTAAGCTACATTATTTTTATAACATACTTTTTCAGGTATTTAAAAAATTCTGATGTACATGACTATCCATTCAAACATAAGGAAATTCAGTGAAAGTTATTTGCCCACAGACATATGGCTAGAAAATGGCCAGGTTTGTATTTGGACCCATATCTATATTTCCATTAGGCTCAAAGCCATGTTTATGGATGTTCAAAATGGAATGCACCTGAAATCATTAGAAGGGTAGAAAACGGGGAACTGTGAGATTGTTGTTATACTTCATTTTTGGATTAGCTCTTTATATTAATGGTATAGACTGAAAGCCCAAAATGCAATGGCATGAATAAAATACAGGTGAGGTGGAGAGTTTTGTTTTGTTTTGGTTTGGTTTTTTGAGATAGTGTCTCACTGTTGCTCAGGCTGATCTTCAATTCCTGGTCTCAAGTCATCCTACTGCCTCAGCCTCCCGAGTAGGTGGAACTACAAGAATGTGCCACTGGGCCCAGCACTTAAAAAAAAATGCATCTAGGACTGGGGCATGGCTCAAGTTGATAGAGGGCCAGTCTATTAAGTGCAAGCCCTGAGTTCAATCCCAGTACCACCAAAAAATAAAAAAATACATCTGAAAGTAGTTCAGGACATTGAATGATTCTGAAAACTTCAGCAAATGGCTTCTTGACTATGGATCCACTATGGCAGTACTTAACTACCTTATTCATATTTTAGGTTAGTTTGATTTTGGTGAAAATTATCATATATGTGGAAAATACTCAGTTGCTTTGGTATACTTCCAACTATTCTGATTAGGCTTCACACCATCTTCACAGTTAACATATCAGCTTGCCATGTGATTTATGTATTCTATAATATTTTATACCTCTATACTTGAACACCTCTTCTTCACCTCTTCACGTGTTCTTCAAAGTTCTCTTTCTCAGCCCAGAATCTTTTTCTGCACATCAGATCCTATCTGTTCATCAAGACTTTCTGCAGGTTGCCTTAATCTTTATTGTGTTGCTTTATATAGGGGAAAGATCTTAGTCTAACATCTGGGTTTGAGTCCCAGGTATGAACTCTTAGGCAAATTACTAAAATTCTCTGAGTTTTGTTTGTTCCTATATAAAAAGGCAAAGAATGTCACCTTTCAGAGATAATTTGAATGTTAGGGAGGTAACTCATATTTTCTGTTACATACTGTTGTATCTGGCAAATGATGGGTGTTCGATAAATGAAGACTATACTGGTTTCATGGGTCATACTTTGATTTCTAGCATGTTGAATCTACACTGTTTTTAAATTTAAAGTTGTTTTTCTTTATCTGACAAGCTTATAAATTTCATAGGACCTGGGACCAGTTCTGCATATATGTTGTCCCTGATGAGTTAGAACTAAGATATATGACTGTATTTATAATATTGACTTTGTAAGGGCTATTTCTTTTTTTTCTTTAGTTTTTCTATTGTGATTGTATCATGGAAAATCAACTGGCTAAATCAGTTGAAGAACGAACATTTCAATACCAGGATTCTCTCCCATCACTGCCTGTTCCTTCACTTGAAGAATCATTAAAAAAATACCTTGAATCAGGTATGTTCACAATATTTTAGTATACATTAATATTGTTAGCACCTAAGAAACAGTGGCAGTATTAGAGGTTGATGAGGCTCTAATTGCTGCTTCTTCTAGGCTTATGATAAAGTATCTTAAAATGTCTTATTTTTTCTATAGTTTGAAAAGCCAGATAATATTAATAGGCCTAAAAGTGTAGTGCCCCCTGCCCCAGCCCCCACCGCCTGGTTCCTTGTGCCCTCACAAATCCTACTCCCAGGGCAAGGATTTTCAGATCTTTTATCGGTTTCTTTTCTTATTTCCATATTTGAAGTAATATTCTCACACTATATCCTAGATTTTTAGCTATAGCTATTATAAATTCCTAAAAAAATGTGTATTTAGCTCTTTAACCCTCCCTCTCTTCAGCATATGTACAATCCAACTTACCCACATTTTCCATTTCATTTTCTCAGTACAGTTGTAAAACTCACCATTTTCAAACCAGCAGTCACCTGATTTAATTCAAGATTTCACCTGGTTTTAATAAACATTTATCTGTCTTAATTCATCTTACCATTCAGGATTATGGTCACATAGTTACTTGCAAGTGAACCATGAATTTTACTTGAGGTTTTTTTGGCGTGGGGAAGATGTGGTACTAGGGTTTAAATGCAGGGCTTTGAGCTTATTTGACATGTGCTCTACTGCTTGAGCCATATCTCCAGCCCTTTGAGTTACCTAATTAAAGCTACATGTTTCTCTTATTCATTTGCTTAGTTTACTCTGTGTTCATAATTTATCCCTATACACTTCAGAACAGTGAAAATTCCTGAGTACATTTGAATACATAGAGTATTCTGTCAATCTCATTGTTCTTTAGAGATATCCTTTCTGGAGCCCTCTGCTCTCTTGCTCTGATTAGGTTCTCTTTTTCTGTGCTTGCTGGGCAGCTGTTAGCCAAGGGCTTTCTTTTGCCATTGTTCTGGCAGTTCTCTTCACAGCTCCTCACTGTATTATAGTCTATTTCCTGGAGTTGGCATCTTTCTCTTTCTTGGTTTACTTCCTTGTTTTGATTCATCTTCAGTAGCTACCCGAAAAGGGATATTTGGTAAAAATTAAAAAAAGAAAAAAGTAACAATGTGTTTACTTGTTTGTTGAGCTGAGTATAGAGTTGGAAATGATTTTTCTGAAGAATATCAAAGGTATTGTTTGTTCCTCTTGAGAAGTATGATGTCATTCTGATTTTGAGGCTCCTCCTCCTAAAGGTCACCATACCTCCCAATACTGCCACCCTGGGGACCATACCTTTAATACATGGCCCTTTGGCAGACACTATCCATATTTAAACCATAGCAGTGCCTTCTTAACAGGAGAGGGTCTGTTTACTATTTGATATCATCAAATCCTTTTGTATGTTTGTTTTGCTTGCTGTCATATGAGAGGCAATCTTTAGGCATTCATATTTATGTAGGAGACCCTAAAAAGACAGCTGGGAACTCTGTGTGCATGAGTTAGAGTTGGTAGATAGTGGACCTTATTGTTAGGTATAGTGAGAAGCCCATTGACTATTGGGACATATCCACATTTCAATCAGATTCCCTAAAGAGGACTTCTGTTTGCCTTTTGCCTGGAGGACATTCACCAATATTTTGGGAACTGAGTAAGGGGAAAGAGTTGAAGAAGGCTCACTTTTCAGGATGTACACTTTTTTTTCTTTTTTCAATTAAAGTTGCTTCTTAAGCTGATACCTAAAAACATAAAATTATATATACTAAGGGGACCATGTAATGCTTTTATACGTCATTATACACAGTGTAATGTTTAAACACAATGACTTTATCATTTCATATGCTGAAAACATTTAAAATGCCTTAATCCTTTTTTTTGCCCCTTTTTGAGACAGTGTCCCATTATACAGTCCAGGTTGGCCTTGAACTCCCTATGCAGCCTAGGCTGGCTTCAGACATACAGTCCTTCTACATCAGTCTCCTGAGTGCCGGGATTACAGGCCACAAAACCCCTTCTTCTAGCTTTTCGAGACACATATTAGATAATTGTTATCTGTAGTCATCCTACAGTGCAATAACACACAAGAATTTCTTATTTCTAGCTACAACTCAGTACCTATTGATCAACCTTTCCATCCTTCCCTCCCTCTTACTCTCTGAAACCTCTGTTAGCTACCATTCTGCTCTCAACTTCTATAAGATCAACTTTTAGATTCTACATATGGGTGAAGTGTTACTCTTTTTTCTGTGCCTAGCTTATTCTACCTAACATAATTATTTCCAGTTCCAACTATGTTGACACAAATTACAGGATTTCATTCTTTTTTATGGTTGATTAGTTTTCCATTGTATAGATGCCACAAAATCTTCAGGTGATGGACACTTAGGTTGTTTTCATTTCTTTGCCACTGTGAATAGTGCTGCAATACAGGATGTACACTTTCATTTTACTCCCCCCTTTTCACTTATGGGGTAGAATCCATGTATTCTGTCTTGTTTGATTCAACTTCTCTTGAGTAAAGAGGAAGTAGCCTGGCTTTGTAAAGAAAGTGATCCACAAGACAAGTGTGGCTGGGGTGGTTGTGTGACTGCTGCTTTTCGATACTCCCTAACAGTCCTGTTTTTAGCCTTAGTTTCTCCTTTGTCATTGGAGGTACCACGTTTCTTGAATTCTAGAACCTTTCTTGGATTCAAACTGGAGGAATTGGCTTGTTTCCTAATTAACATCTAACCCTTTCCCCATTCCCCACCACCTTCTACTCCCTGGGCTTTAAATATTAACTATGTCTATTTTACAAATCCGGTGTTTTTATGTTTTGTTTTATTTTTTTTGAAGTGGGGTCTCGCTACATTGCCCAGGCTCATCTCAAACTCCCAGATTCAAGTGATCTTCCCACCTCCACCTCCCAAGTAGCTATGACTATAGGCTTTTGCCACCACACACAGCTCCCTACTATTTTTTAATTTATAAAATGTTAGCTTAACCTCATATGCTGTCTTCTTTCATTTTTTTTGTACTTGTAGGGTTCCCCCACTCCTGATACTTCAGTTACTTTGATTTTAGTGGGTTTTTAGGAGAGGAGATGAATGTGGGGTTTTTTTTTTTTTTTTTATCTCTTCTTTAAAAAAGAGTCACAGCCTATTCACTGTTTTTGAGTATCCGTTTTATTTATACTCTCTTTGAATCTAGCCTTTTAAAATTGGTTTTTGCAGTGTGCTAGATTAGATGTTTAAAAGGCAAAAATCAAACAAAAAGAATATATTACCCAAGTGCTGGTGGCTACTTGGTAGCTGAGATTGGGAGGATCACAGTTTAAGATCAGCCCAGGCAAATAGTTCACAAGACCTCATCTCTAAAATAACCAGAATAAAATGGACTGGAGGTGTGGCTCAAGCATAGAGCACCTGCTTTGCAAGTACAAAGCCCTGAGTTAAGACCTCAGTACACTAAAAAGAAAAAAAAAAAGAGAGAGAGAGATAATACATTAATATGATTTTTAAAATTAATTTTATAGCTTAATTTTTAAAACATTTTCTTTTCATGGAATAGGGATCCTGAATCCTTTTTTGAGTAGGAAACCATTTTTAGCCCTTAGGTACTTGAAAGTCAAGGTTCTGATTTGAACATTAATGGAAAGATGCTTTAATTTCTCTTATTTATGGTAAAATATGATTTACTTTCCACTGGCCTAATAAATGTTAGTCTCACCTCATACTTTTAAACTATAATCTTGAATAATTTTTAAATAACTGTAGAAAATTGTTACCACATTACATAATGTCCACAGTTTTCTTTTTTATGGTATTTTGCATTGTGCTTTTCAGCCATTTTCATGTTGTAAATTCTATAATTTTTTGTACTGTGGTGATATTTAATACTATTTTACATATCTGAGCCATTGGATTTGTATAAAAATACTTGAAGTGATTGGAGCTACTTGATGTATAAATACCTTAATCACATTTTTCCTTTATAGTAAAACCATTTGCAAATGATGAAGAATATAAGAAAACTGAAGAAATAGTTAAAAAATTTCAAAATGGAGTTGGAGAAAAATTACATCAGAAATTACTTGAAAGGGCAAAAGGAAAAAGAAATTGGGTATTTATTTTCATATACTATTATTGAAAACTAATGATGTTTAAAGAAGGAAAATTGTAAATATGCATAGCTTTCATTTTTAAATTATTGCTATAAAATCCTTACAGTCATTGTTGTCATTATGATCATCCAAAAGAATAAGCAAATGACTTACCTGGAGACCCTTGAATGAGTAACTGGGCCTCTGTTTACCTGAGAACTTTTTAAAATGCATATTTCCTGTTACCAGTGATTCTGATTCAGTAGGTCTGGAATAGGGCCCAGAAATCCTTATTTTAGCAACTACTCCTTATGGTTCTGTTGCAGGTGATCTGTAAACTGTGTTTGAGAGAAATGTTTTTCTAGGTGAAGATAGCCTGAAAACTTCCCAAACACCAAAATAGACATGTGACATAGGTAGCGCACACACACACACACACACACACACACACACACTCACATTTAAACCATATACTGGAGAAATGGACAGTTATAAAACTGGAGTTCCATTCCAATATAGAATATACATATTCTATATTTCAGTTAACCTATTGAAGGTCTTAATAATTTATTTATTTTTTTGGCAGTAGTGGAATTGAACTCAGGTCTTCACACTGGTTGGTCAGGCATTCTACCACTGAGCCATGTTTCCAGTCCTGAAGGTCACAGTAATTTTCCACAAGGAATTGTCTTTGATTTCTTTGGTTCAACCATTTCTCTACTTCTCTTCTGAAGAAGAAAATATTACCTTAGTCTAGAAATAACTGTGGTAACTATCTTACACAGTTTTAGAAAGAAAATGTTTTATAATCTTTTTATGAGACATTTATCTTTATGATGGAATAATAAAATTTTCCATTTCCACATTGCTTTGTTCTTAATTTGAGCCTTGGATAATTTTAATTAAAGTGGGGGTAAAGATAAAGAAGTTGTTCTGGCTGCTTCCTTTTTGCTTAGGTCTTTTTCTGAATTACTAATTATAGTTTATAACATCAATTTCTTAAAAAAGAGCTCCAGATAAATTTGGTAAAATTTGCTTATTCATGAATTTCAACTGCTTATTGTGAAAGGGAAGCACATGGAAAGAAATATCTATGAAAAGTCTAAATTTTAAGCCTACTGAAAAGTTTCGTATTTCTAATTTAGTATTTTAGTTTTTGTTTGGAAAAGGAAAATTGCAATGTCTTAATAACTGTTATCATTGGGTAAAGATTTTGTATATATTTTTTATATCCCAGGCACTCTGATAAAGTGTACTTAGTTGTGGTTTGTTTGTGATTTTAATAGGGTTTAGGATCTTACAGTTCTTAGAGAGAGACAGAAAGAAATGATCACAATAGCATTTTCAAATCTATGATGGTTTTTGAATGTTGAAAAATAAATAACAAATGTAGCTTGCTTTTTTTTTTTTGCCAGCAATTACATATTCAAGAATTTTGAAGAACATTAGGCTGATGTTCTTAATTTCTTTTAGCTGGAAGAGTGGTGGCTGAATGTTGCCTACCTGGATGTTCGTATACCATCACAACTGAATGTCAACTTTGTGGGGCCTTCCCCCCATTTTGAACATTACTGGCCTCCAAAGGAAGGCACTCACTTAGAAAGAGGAAGTATAATACTTTGGCATAACTTGAACTACTGGCAGCTATTAAGAACGTAAGGACACTTATGTGAATTCAGTAACAGCCTTACCCGAAGTCTCAGATGACAAAATGTTGAAGCTTAATTCACTTATTGGGGAAGAATAATATAGTTGTGATGGTTTGATTTATAAGTTTAATAATGACTTCTTGATCAAAATTCTTTTTTGAATAGAGAAAAAGTGCCTGTTGATAAAGTTGGAAATATTCCACTAGATATGAATCAATTCCGAATGTTGTTTTCTACCTGCAAGATTCCAGGAATTACTAGAGATTCAATTATCAATTATTTTAAGACTGGTAAGTAAAATCATGGGTACTTTAAAAAGTAAAGGCATTGGGATTTGGGTGGTTTCTACTGTGATTCTGTGGAATATTACTAATTTGATCCAAATTTCCCACTGCTCTGACTCACCCCGCCACATCCCCCAAAACCTTCTGCTGTTCTTTCTGGAGCTCCTGATTAGCAAAATCCATTGTATCCGCATCCTTTTCTTTGAAAGATACTGCTACTAAAACCGATGTTCTTTTTAGCTTGCTATGTCCTCTGTGGCCATTTCAGATTGGGATTTTTTCCTGTTTTATGTTTTGGTATTGCAGGGCTTGTGGGAAATGTTGCTGTCCTCTTTTCCTCCCTGTGCCCTTCATTTTCTCTTCTTTGTAGTTCGAGCTTTTCAGGTGTGTGTGGGGAACCATCAGGTTATATCACTAGTACTTGTGTTGACTTTCTCTGATTATTCCCTTTTATTCACTGATTGCTTAGCATCAATCCCACCATCTTCTGTTACTACAGCTTCTAGCTGTAGGTGATCTCAGGCCTCCAATTCCTTTGCTAGAATCTCTATCTCCACTCCTTCTCAGTGAGCCACTTTCTCCCATGGGCCTGCGTGAGACCTTACTACCCAAAACTCCATCACCTCTAACAATGCAGTTTCCAGCATCAGTCTGATGTCCACTTTCTCTTCATAAACACACGTTCTTTAGTCCTGCATGTCAACTATTTCAGCGGCCACACTACGATACACAACTCAGCGACCTTACTGCTCTACGCAGTTCTATCCTTCCTCCTCTCCAGTCTTCACTTCTTCCTATAGTTCTTTACTATAATCATTCTTTGCATATAAAGAAGAATCTTTGCCTCCTCCCCCCACACTAATCCACTAAAACCTTAACACTGTTTAAATTTCAGTCATATCAAAAATACCTCCCCTAGCAACTTACTTGGTGGTGGTGAAGGGGACCTTAAAACCTCACCCACGGATTTCATTTAACCTCAAGTGGGCCCATAGCATTAGCACTACCTTGCTATATTATTTTGTCAGTTTATTCTTTCATGCCTTTCTCCCTCATTCTCAGTTAGTAAACTCTTATTCTTAACAAATACAAAGTAGTATTCTTATTATCAGATTTACTGGCCTATCTGTAGTAGGCAGAGTAATGAAGAGTAATGACCCCCTAAAGATGTCAACTTCCCAGTCTCTGCAATTGTGAATTGTTAGTTTACATGATAAAGGGGAGTTACCAGTTGCTAATCAGTTGACCTGGAGATGAGGAGATTATCCTGGATTAATCACAAGGGCCCAAAATGACCTCAAGGACTTTTGTAAGTGAAAGAGGGAAACAAAAGAAAGAACCAAAGGGGTGGCAGCAAGAGAAAGTTGTGATCTTCCATTGATGCTTTGAAGATGGAGGAAGGGGTTCCTGAGTGTGGGCAGCCTCTAAAAGCTACCTTGATAAAGGAATGAAATAAATTCCCTCCTAGAGCCTCTAGAAGGAGCACAACTGTCGGTACCTTCATTTTAGCCCAGTAAGATATATTTAAGATTTGTGGCACTCACTCTAAGTTAATAAAGTTGTGCTGCTTCAAGCCACACACTAAGATAATAATTTGTTACAGCAGCCAAAGAAAACTTACTTTTTCAAACACTTGTCCCTCCCCTTTTGCCTTGCAATACTATTAAATTCATTTACTTTGCCTTCCTTTTTAAAAAGCAGATAGACAAGGGACTGGGGTACAGCTCAGTGGCACAGTACTTGTCTGCATGTTACATGTGTGAGGCTCTAGGTTCAATACCCAGCACCAGAGAAAACAAACAAACAAACAAAAAACTCTTCTGATTGCTCAGGACAACTTCCATATGTGTACTGGATCCAACTTTCTTTGGTCTAGTCATTACCTCTCTCTGCAGCATTATCAGTTTTCTTTTTTTATTATTAGATTGTTCTAATCTTAAATAGCTTTAATATCTCTCATATTAAAAGAAAACAATGCTCCTTTTGTATTTCCTTCAATTGTCACACCACAGTCAAAACCACCATCCCTGCTAGGTGTTGTGGTGCATTGCTGTAATCCCAGTTCTCAGGAAGCTGTGTCAGGAGGATTGCATGTTCATGGCCAGCCTGGGCTGCATGTCAAGACCCTGTTTTAAAACAAGCAACAACAAAAATATCCCACCATCCTCTCTCACTTAGATTTTTTTCAGCTGGACTACTTTGGTTGCCTCCTAACTGATCTGACTGTACCACATTTTTCCTTCTGTAATTTATTCTCCATGGAGCACCTGGCATGACCTTTTGAAAGAGTCAGTTAGATTACATTATCACTCTACTGCATAGAACTCTCCATTGGCTTCCTTTCTATTATACTTAACATAGAAAGTCCTTTCTGAGGCCTATGTGGTCTGGCCTCAGCCTCATCCTTTTCTCTCTGTTGCAACTGCACTGACCTTGATTTCCTTTAAACAAACCAGCTCACTTCTCTCCTAATGATTTCATCCTTGCTGTTTCCTCTGCCTGGTACTCTTTTCCTGCAGACTTTCCATGCCTCACTTTCAAACTTCATTCAATTCTCCATTCAATTATCCCTTCTTAGGCTCATTCTAAGGTGTCATGCTCCTGCCACTTTGGGTTTATTTTCCTTTTTGTTTTCCAACCCTAAATTTTGGGAAGGGTGCAGTAAATAGATGATAGCAATAAAAGATAGTAGTGGTAAATGTGAAAGGATCTGGAGGTTTTTGAAGGTGCAGAGAGAAAAAATGGTTTGGAAGTAGCTATGAAGAGCAAGGAAAATACATATCTCACCTCTGGGCACTGAAGAAACAGGATATAAGAGAAAAAGTAGTAGTGTTAACAGGAGATGTTCTTCATAATGGATAAGTAGATTCCATGAGATAATGTGTGTAAGGCACTTACTACCAACCAGTACATTTCCTTCCAGTGATACTGATATTGTTTCTTCCTCTTCCCCCACCTTTCTTAGAAACTAGGAGCAGGGTATATAGGAAAACCTTTGGCAAGGGAGTAGTATTTTAAAATGAGGCTAAATCAGTTGTCTGAAGTTTATAGCAAACTTGAGGAGTTAAGATCTGCTAAAGGAATCATAGAACCAATTATCAGTGATTTATCATGTGGTATCAGAACCTTCACTAAAGCTAGAGATTAGACAAAATTCTTCCCTTTTGCCATGCAGGCATATGATGGCCTTTTTTTTTTTTTTTTGCTGAAGACTATTTTATTGAGGGATCATTTTTTGATAGTTCTATGATTATCTCTCATTCAATTACTAAGTACTAACCAGGCCCAACCCTGCTCAGCTTGCAAATCAGAGAGATTATGTGAGTTCAGCATGGTATGGCTATACACTGCAATTAGTTTAACTGCTGAGCAAAAGAAATGTGTTCATTCAAATGGTTCTCCTCCCGCATCCTCTGGTCCACTTCTCCCTTTCCTCTTCCTATCCCTAAATAAAACTTAGAAATCCTGTAGACTTTGGGGTTTCTCAGGGTATACAAATACTTGAAACATGGATGTAACATTGATAAATGTCAGGAGTATGTAATGCTAACATAGTAACTGAAATTATGAAGTGTTTTTTGTTGTTGTTGTTTTAGTGCTAGGGATCAAACCTAGTGTCTTTCACATGCTACTACTGAGCTACACCCCTAGCCCTGAAAGTTTTCTTTTTTAGTTGCATGTATTTTTAAACTGATATGTAACCCCCACCAAATTATACACCTTAATAGGCTACCATACCATGTTTCAATACATGTATACATTGTAAAATTAGGTTAAACATATCTATCACCTCAAACATCTGTCATTTCTTCATGGCAAAAACATTTGGAATACTTTTGCCTAGCTTTTTGAGATAGGTAGAGGACACAGTCACTACCTGTAATCACCCTACTGTGTAATAGCACATCAGAACTTCTCTTACCCAGTTGTAACTTAGTATGCATTGATCAGCCTTTCCTCATCCATCCTTCTCCCTAAGTTGTTTTTGTTCATGTGATATGTTTGATGAATATATGGAAAATCGAATATTGGAAGAATGATTATTACTTTCCATTGGATGTATCTCTGTTTAACTTTGAGAAATTTGAGTTTTGTCTTTCTTGTTTCTTTTTTTTTCCAGAGAGTGAAGGGCATTGCCCAAATCACATTGCCGTGTTATGTCGAGGCAGAGTGTTTGTCTTTGATGTAATGCATGAAGGATGTTTGATCACTCCACCAGAGCTTCTCAGGTTTTCAAACTACCTTCTTGAGTCTCATTAGATCTCAAGCTTTTGCTTGGGTTAGAAAATAAATGTTTAGAATTGCCTTTCTCTAAGAAAACAATAGGCTAAAAAATAAGAGTTTTACACTTGCTTGCTTTAAAAATATTTTTTTACTTTTAATTTAAATTAAGTCATAATCTTTTGTCCTAAAATTATTATTCTGCTTTATTTTTTAAACTAGGAATCAATAATAGTATAAGGGAGTTTCATGGATGCATACAGTATACTTTGAACAGTTCACTCCCTTTACTGTATTCCCTTTAGTTCCTTCTCTCTCTACCCACCTACTTTTTCAAACAATATTTGGCAGGTTTCATTATGCTATCTTCATACATATGTAATTTACTTCAAACCTCTTTTCCCCTGGTTTCCTCTCCTTTACGTCTCCACCACTCACTGATTCTGCCCCCAACAGTTTCCCTTTTATACTCGTCCATTGTTTTATTATTATTTTAGACCTAGATTCTGCTTATGAGTGAAAACATGCTATATTTGGCTTTTTTGACCTTGACTTATCTCACTCAATATGATGGTCTCCTGTTTCTGCAAATGGCTTCTTTTTTTTGTGGTACTGGGGCTTGAATTCAGAGACTACACCTTGAGCTACTCTACCAGCCCTTTTTTGGGATGAGGTCTTGCGAACTATTTGCCCAGGCTGGCTTTTAACAACTATCCTCCTGAACTCTGCCTCCTGAGTAGCTACAATTATAGGCATGAGCCACTGGCACCCAGCTACTTTCATCCTTCTTTATGGCTGAATAATATTCCATTGTGTGTGTGTATGTATGTGTGTGTGTATATACATATACTACATTTTCTTTATCCATTCTCCCATTGTTGGGTACCTTTGTTGATTCTACAGCTTGTCTGTTGCAAATAGTGCTGCTATAAACATGGGTGTACAGGTGTCCTTCTTGTATGTTGATTTACACTCCTTCAAATGTGTGCCCAAGAGTGGCATAACAAGTCATCAGATAGTTCATTTTAGCTTTTTGATGACTCTCCATGCTGATTTTCCTAGTGGTTGCACTAGTTTATAGTCCCACCAACAGTGTATGAAGGTTCCTTTTTTCCCTGCATCTTCGCCAGCATCTGTTGTTTGTTTTCTTAATGGTTGCCATTCTGATTGGAATTAAAATAGAATTTCATTGTAATTTTGCTTTGTATTGTCTTTATGGCTAAGTATATTGAACATTTCTTCCATGTTTTTAACCATTTGTACTTCTTGTTTTGAGAAGTGTATTCAGTTCATTTGCCCATTTATTAATTGGATTATTTGTTGCAAGTTTTAATTTTTATTAAGTGTACATGTTTATGTTCTAGTTGTCTAGTTGTAGAAAAGGAAAACATTACAGATATTACCAATGCCATCCCTTTACAGAATTAATCACTATTACTAGTTTGGTGTGTTCTGTCCTCCAGATTTATTGCAATGAATTTACATGCATATTATCATTTAAAAAGAGAGCACTGATATAAGTATATTTTATATATAGCAGATATTCATGTATATTCTTATACTTATAGTAGTATGTATATTATGTACATAGTATGTAATATTGCATGTATATATATTTTAGAGTATTGTGGAAAATTTCAAAATGTAAAGGAAATATCAACTCCTAACTTTATCACTTAACTCATCAATTCATCATCTATGCTTCAACTATAACTCTTGTGCTCCTCTCTTCACTATGTTATAGATTATTTAAAAAATCTCAGACATAATTTTCTTTTCACTATAAGTATTTTAGTATGCATCTTTAAAATAAAAGACCTCTTAAAAATTAAGACCAGCCTGGAATATACAGTAAGAACTTACGTCAAAAAAAACCACCAAAAAACCCAAAGAGAACTCTTAAAATATGCATATATTGTAGCATTATTATATCTAATAACTTTTTTCTTCTAATCAACAGTAATTCTTTAATATCATTAAATAATTTAAATTACCCATAAATTACATATTTTAACATATTATTTAAATTGTATTTTTACTAGCTATTTTATAATACAGAAGTATACACAGAGCGTACAACTAAATATGTAACCACCACCCAGGTGAGAACAGAACACTTCCAGTGTTCCAGAAGCTCCCTCAATCCTCTTCCCAGCCACTGTGCATTCCCTCTTCCCTGAAGGTGATTGGTCAGGTTTTTTACAGTTTTTATTACACAAGTCTATGGTGCACATGTGCGTGCATTTCTGTCTGGATTACACCTAGGAGAGGATTTGGTGAGGCATAAGGTGGTGTGCCAGTCAACTTCCATACAAGACAGTTTTCTGAAGTAGTTATAAGCATTTCCACTAATGTGTGAGTATTGTAGCTATATATCCATTCTATATAAGAACTCTTTCTTGGCTTTATGTGTTACAGAATAGGAGATACATATTACTTTTACATTCTATTAAAGGCATCTTTTTGATGAACAGTTCTTAATTCAAATGTAATCCAATTACTATTTTACCACATGGATATTTTTCATATTATTTTAAAGAGATTTCCCCTAATCCCAGTGCCAAGAAGATATTTTCTTATGCTATAGAGTTTTGTTTTGCCTCTCACATTTACAGTCTGCCTAGAATTGATTTTTTTGTGCAGTGTAAGGGAGAGATAGTTGTACATTAAAAAATTAGTTATTTTAGATACTTTCCTGAAGTTTACTTCATGTAGTCAATAATAAGATAATATTTCTATTGGGGTGCAGGTGCATCTATTTTATTCTTTTTAAAGTTTGAATTCCATCAAATTAATTCACTATAGCATATTTGACCACTTCTCCATTAGTACGCATTGAAGATGTTTCCATTTGTTGCCATGCCATACAATGAACATTTTCAAGTATGCCTCTGTGTATTTGGACAAAATATCTTGGGGTTGATACAAGTGAAATTTAAGCAAAATTATCATCCAGAGCAGTATTATCTTCCCTTCCAGTATTATATGAGGATACCCATTTTTCCATAGTATTATTAAATTTGAAACATACCAGATCGTTACTTGTAAGGTTGGAAGGAATCAATTTAGCTTGTGAAGTATTTTGCTTAGATAACAAAATTTGAATCACAATTAAAAGTAAGATGAATTTACATAAAAGTCTGGATTTCTGATTTTCTCTTTTTAAAAAACCCAAAATTATAACTGTATTAGCCTAACTTCTGGTTTGGCCCTGTAGTCTAAAGTTGCCCATTGCAGACTGGTTTTGTTTCAGCATGCTACCGTCCTTAGCCTTCCATACACACTTAACATTTCACTACATTGGGGTTTTTTCTTAATTTTAGTAGTAGAGAATTACTTCTCTACTACTAAATATAACAAAGATAACAAGAACTCTGGTATAAACATGGTGTTAGTATGCCTAACTTCTTTTTCCATGCTTTTTTCCTTCTTACATTCCTATCTTCCTCCGTGGTAGTAGAACCTACTTAGTTATCCAAGTGTGAGAACCACTAGAGAGTCCCTCAGCATCTCCCTTGTGTCCCATATTAATCAGGAGCCAAGCCCTCGCTGTTGTATCTCCTAAAGATTTCTCCGGTTCTTCTATCTTCTCTATCTCCATTGTCATTTCAGATTTTCATTACTTCTCTGCTGGACTACTAACTAAAATTCCAAAATGGTTTCCTTGCTTCCATATATTGTCCATACTGTTAACAGTTTTTAAAATTAAAATGTGATTGTATCCCACCTTTGCTTAAAATTCTTAAATAGTTCCCTGTAGCTTAGGATAAAATTCAAATCCCTTAGCATGATCTCGATTTGACGTTTGCCTGTGTCTTGCCCTTCCTTCTTGTGCATCATCTTCTACCCCATTGTTCTGCTTGCAATCCTTATAACATGTCAGATTATCTCTGATTTTTTTTTTTTTTTTTTAGCATACTCATGTATTCTATCTGGAATACCCTCTCTTGCCTTGTCTGCTTGGCAGATTCTTATCTGTCACCACAAGGTCAGCAATTTCCTTTTCCCTTTCCTCAAACCCCAAAGAGTAGCCTCCCTTAGGCTCTTTGTACATATCTTTGTAATCTTTGTTTGGATTGAAATTATTTATTTCCATGTTTCAAATATAGATGTATCTCCAAAAGAATAGATACCAGGTGTCTTTCTCTTTCCTTTTCCCTGTCTCAAATTCCATTGCTTAATTCAGTGGTTAGCATCCAATAGAATTTCCCTGTGGATGGGTTTATTGTGTGTATATTTGAAATATACAAGCATATGTGTATGAATTAAGTGATTAGGCAAAGCTGTGTGTTATGAAAGTTTATGTAAAAATGTAAGACACATTAGAAATGTAAGATAAATTGGTCACATTCTGAATTGTAATGAGTCAGAGTGTCACAAGAACTGTATTAAAAGCCAGTGCAGTAATCCAGGAAAGAAGTAAGAGGTTGGGATTTTAAAGACAAATTCAGGAAATGTTTTAGAGATAAAATTAATAAGAACTGATGACTGGATTTGAAAAGAAAGGAAACAAATATGACTAAGGGTTTCAACTTACAGGAGTCAGAGAATTGTATTGTAATTGGAGGCAATGAGGAGGGACCATTTTAATTCTTATTTAATTTCATTTTTAATAGTAGGTTTATTGAGATCTAATTCATATACCATTTATACATTAAAGTATATGATTGAGAGTTTTTTAGTATTTCACAGAATTACAATTCTACGATCAGTTTTAGAACATTTTTGTCACCCCCAAAAATAGCCTTGTAGCCATAAGCAGTCACTCCCATTGCTCACAAATTCTTCTTCACTGTTAGCAGTCACTTCTTGTTATCTCCCAAAACATCCCTAACCCCCAACCCTAGGTAACCACCAACCTACTTTCTTACTATAAATTTCCTATTCTTGACATTTTATATGAAAGAGATCTTATAAGCATCTGTCTTTTTATATTTGGCTTATTTCATATAGCCTACTGTTCACAAGGTTCATTCATGTTTAGCATGCATTAGTGCTATATTCCTTTTCATACTGAGTAATATTTCATTATCTGGGTGTATTACATTTTATTTTAACCATTAATTAGTTCATGGACATTTCAGTTGTTTCTGCTTTTGGGTTATCATAACTAATGCTGTCATGAACCTTGTGTACTGGTTTTTATGTGGTCATAGGGTATATATCTAGGAGTAGAATTCCTGAGCCATATGGTAATGTTGTTTAACTGTCTGAGAAACTGCCAGACTGGTTTCCAGAATTCCTGTACCATTTTATATTTCCCACTGCAGTATATGAGGGTTGAAGTTTCTCCACATAGCCTCATCAACACTTACTGCCTGCCTTTTTGAGTATAGCTGTCTTACTAGGTGTAAAGGGTACTTACCTGAACACTGGAAATGCATGTGTATTTTCAAAGTATAAATTGTATTAGCCAAACTTATTTTTTAAATATAAATTATTGTCAAATGTACTTTTGGTGTAAATAGAACAAATAATCACTTTTTTTTAAAAGTTGTAGTTTAGGAAGTAAATCTACAGCTATTGTCATAATCTGGTTTTTTTTGGATGGTATGTAAAACATTTAAGTATTAATGAATATCATGATCTGTTGAAGCTCTATGTAGTCCTATTTGCCTGTGCTCTTTTTGAATCTGATTTCTTTAATCTTCCATAAGACAACTGACATATATCTACAAGAAGTGCCATAGTGAGCCTGATGGACCTGGGGTACCAGCATTGACCTGTGAGGAGCGAACCCAATGGGCCAAGGTAATAGTTTATACCATTTTTTTTAAAGAGATGCTATTGATTTTCTTTAAATACCTGTGGCTAGACTTTGGATGGGCTCTTTGGCTTTCTGGGTTCCTCCTGCTTTTCCTGTTTTGAGGTTGCTGCTGCTGCAGCTTTTAAGTTGGTTTTTTTTGTAGTTGTTGTTGGTTTTTTTCTTCTTAAACTTTTTCTCTCCTGGAAACACAAAGCAGAGGAGAAAGGTGCATCAACCCCTGGCTCCCTGCATGTCTTCACAAAGACATCATAGTTGGTCTTACAGAGGTTATCAAGCATCTTTTTCTTCTGGTTGATGTTCACAGCAGATATTATTTGTGGGCTTTGTCCTTTCCATGTTTCTGCATGGGTTCTTCCTAATTGTGGATCTTTGGTCAAGGCAACAATTCCAGCCTCCAGGGATCTGGTGTCCTGGGGGGGGGGTCTGTCCTGGCCTTGTTCATCAACTATTGTTGCTTGACTTTTCTCTTTCTGGTTGACCATATCCAAAGACAAGAGTCTTTTCAGATCATCAACTTTCTCAATTCCAGGGATGTTCTGATAGTCTCTGAGCAGTGTGAAACAGGGAGGTCATTGTTTAGGATGGACTGGACTGGTTTCTAGATGGCATTGTCCAGACCTTTAACAGACTGTGTGACTGCAGGCTGCAGTGAGCTGAGGGAGGGCTGGTGCTTCCTCTGCTAGGCAACCCAGAGACAGGGACCTGCATCACTGACTGGGTTCAAATCAACCTCAGCAGCCTCTTGGTGGTCCTAAGCATAGTGACTTCTGACCCTACAGATCAGCACCATAGCCACTGTCTTTGCAGTAGGGCCTGAGATACATGGGCACCACTATGATGCCTTAGGCTTGACTATGTACACTATTCTTAATGAAACTTTTTGCTAGCATTTTTTATTCTTTCTGGATATATTGTATTTAAATTGTAGTATTTGATTATTATCTCCTTGCTCTTTAGGCACGAGAACATCTGATTAGTCTTAATCCGCAAAACTTGACTTTCTTAGAAAAAATTCAGAGCAGTTTATTGGTATATTCCTTCGAGGATGGCAGTCCACATGTAACTCCACAAAATTATTCTCAGGTAACTATCTTCTTCTGTTGTCTTCTTTTCTGGAGGATTCTTATGGATACTAAACAGAAAAAGGTTTTTTTTTTTTATTATAAGGCTCTTAGAATTTTTCTCAGCTATGAAGTATACATATAAAAATTGAATCTTGCACATAAATAGTGCTTTGTAAGTTGTTGCTACATTAAGACTGCTTATATATATTTTGAACCTTGTTTAAAGAAGTATGACTTTTGCTCACATATCACATGTCAGTGTTCCCCAACTGTTTCATTGATTGTATACACAGAATATTGCACAGGATACTGGAGTAAGTTAACTTCCCTTCCCAAACTCACACTAGTGTGCCTCAACTAGTTGGAAGGATTGGTTCCAAATAATGTATCACTCTTGTAAATAATTTATGTCATTTGGTTTTATTGAACACTGACTTGGGTATGTTTAAGGATAAATGTGACTTCCCCCCCCACCCCTAGGGTAATGTTTTCATTTCCTGGGGAATAAGAGGTAGTAATCATATGAGTAGAGGCTTATCATTTTTCAAAAACACTTAAAGTATTTCATAATTCAGTCATCAATATGAAATACTGATAGGAAAAAATAAGCCAGGATTAACAATCTTATAGCCAGAAACAACATTTTTTAGCTATATTGTGGGGCAAGGAGCAGGAATCACCAAACTACTTCTTAAGGAAGAATATATTTTAATGCAGTGTTGTTCAAACTTTTTGGGCCACAGTCTGTATTTAGAAATAGGATTAGATTCCAGCCACTGTGTATACATACATGAGCATACATGTATACACATATGTAAATTTTATAAAATAGTAGTTACTTTTACTGTCTGTGATACAAACTGCTATTTCTATCCTATTTTATTCTTAGTGAAGAAGTTCATTGTGATGCATTAAATTGATTTTATGACTCATTAAATGGGCCAAAATCTACAGTTTGAAAAATAGGTTTAGTGGAATATGAATTGTTATACTATTCAAGTTACTGAAGGTTAATATTTTCAATCATATGTTCTATAAACATCCATGAATAAGGTACCAGCATTCTATTTTCTGGTTGGATTTTCCTAACTCAAGAATTGAGAAATGGCTGAAGTCAGGGCCAGAATTATTACCCCCTGAATATAACTGTCTTATCACTTTATTATATTTCGTTGATCTGAAAATAAAAATGAAATGATATATTTATGTTTAAATTGAGTTATGTTTAAGTTTAATAGTTATAGAACAATGTTAAAACCCTTTTTAAATTGGAAAAATTAAATTTAGGTACTTGAAGCACTTCTTGTTGGAGATCCAGTAGTGCGCTGGGGTGACAAATCCTATAATTTGATTTCCTTTTCTAATGGAATATTTGGCTCTAATTGTGATGTAAGTAAACTAATGAATTTTTTAAAAATTTAATTATGAATTCTTAGTGAAAAAGCATAGTCAAGTTATTTTCTTATATACTAAGGCCAACAGTTTGGTGTTATCTGCAAAAAGGAACTTTGTATAAGTTTTGTGTAGTGTAATTTCTTAAAACTTGTCTGCTTACTAAAAATCGTACCCTATTTTTAAAGATACTGTGTGGTATCATTCCCCATACCTAAGGAGATGTATATAGGTATACTTCTAGATTTCAAGATTTCCCTAGTAACTAGGTAACTGTTTTCCCACAGTGACACATGATCTTTGGGACACCATTTAGACTATGAGTATCAAAGGAAGGAAGGGAAAGGGAATTGCCAGCATTTATGATTTTCGTAAAAAATAAAGAACTTCTTTTCTTTCTCTGTCTTCCATTTAAGAGGTCTATAAACCAAGAAAATGAAAAATAAGAAAAAGGGTTCAGTCTTTTTTTTTTTTTCCCCAGAGGTGGGGATTGAGTCCAGGACCTCCTGCATGTTAGGCAAACACTACTAGCCTAGCCCTTTTCAATGTTTTTCATTAATTTGTATTTATTCACTTTTAAGTGATAGAAATTTAATCCATCATTAGCTTAAAAAAAATTTGTTAGTATAGGAGTATAACTAATGTGGATAAGGCTGAATTCCAGTATCCAAATGCTTTCATTACAAATCTTTTCCCCCATTTTTTGGCACTCTTGTTTGACTTTTTAGGAGACTGCCCATTGTGATTATTGTATCTATAGTTTCAAGTCTATTTCATAGCTCTCTTACTTAGCTTAGTGACTTCAGTGGAAATAGCCAGCTTCTTCTTTTCCAGTGGTTCCAACAAAAGTCCTGAAAAAACACTTATTGATTGTAATTCATCTCTGTGAACCATGTGCCTGTACCTGGGACAGTTGCTTTCATTAGCTTGGCCTGGGTTACATGCCCAACCTTGGAACTCAATGGGTAGAATTAGTCTCATTCAACTCATTACAGAGAGATGTGATGGTTGCCAAGTAAAGTAGCTGTTATTCCAAAGGCAGGTGGGTTGGTGATAAACAGGTGCTAAAAGTAGACATTTATCATAGTAGCTCATGGTAGTGACCATAAAAGGTTTTGCTGAGCCATTTTGATTGTTTTCTTTATTCTTCGTTTGAATCCACTGTTGACAGAATATTTCTTTTTTTGGTTAATTGCCTGTTTTCTTCTTTTCTGTGCCTTGTTTGATTTCCTTGACCTTCCAGTCTGTGTTAGGTCCTCTTTGTTCCCTGCAAAGTATCCTTTGTAAGGTAGTTATTACCTTCTGGCTTCTTCTCTCAATTTCTCTTGGGCCTGTCTGTAACAGAGAGACTAACATCCCTCTTGTTCTTATTTACTGATTTCAGTAAAATGGGTAGAAACTGATACTGTTCTCTTAAGCAATATATGTGATAATATCTGTGAAAATTCTTTATAAAACTGTAAACCACTACTTAAGTGTGAGATGTGGTTGGAAAGTAGGTTCATCAATGACCTGCCCTTCTTGATATTTGCACTTGGTGCTGACAGATGAATGGCTATGCATCTTGGATTGACCTCTTTTCTCAGGAGCCTAGCCTATGTTATGGCCACTTAAGTAAGTTAAACTGTACTTAAAGGCTCCGTTGGGCCATGATACAGGACAACATACGCTAACAACCCATAGTGTTAGGGTAACATTTAAGACAATTAATTACTTCCTCTCAAGCTTTCCCTCTTTCCTTTCAAGGCTAGCAGTATTACATTCAGTTCATGAATGATAATTCTTTAATGTTAAGTGGAAGCAGTAACACAGAGAAGGAACCATCTGATGTGATTATCACCAAAGGAACATGAGGGAAATAAGGCAAAAAAAAATTTGTCCTCCACAATAAGTGGGAAAATTCACTAGCTACAATTCCTTTCCCTCAATATAGCCATCAAATTCATAACACCTGTAACAGAGCCCATCTCTCCCACTTTTTTAACCATTGAGAATTATTTCTGCCATATCTAGGCAGGTATATACCCAGAATGGTTATGCTTTCTGTTACCCAGTAACCTTCCTTCCCTAAAGAAGTTCATACCCATCCTAATGCCATCCCCAATTGATTTCCACATTGTTCTTATAGTTCCAGGACATTTTGGCTATATACATACACTGCTCTGATTTCCAGTAAAAATAGCAGCTAATTTCTGTGGATTGGTCATGTTACTTTACACACACATACCCATTACTTACAAGAGCCCTGTTAGGTGCTTTCAACTTTAAACATTTGTTCTGCTTTTTTTTTTTCTCAAAAACATAAATAGGTCCTGTTCTTTGGATATCTATATCTTTATCATTAGGATGTGAACCATTTGAGGCTATACCTTACCCATTAAAAGTAAAGAGAAAGTGAAAGGAAAATACTGGGTCAAGTTTTAACCTGATACAAAGGATTGAAAATATTGTGTGTTTTCATTTTAGCATGCACCTTTTGATGCGATGACTATGGTTAGCATTGGCTATTATGTTGATGAAAAAATTTTAGAGACTGAAGGAAGATGGAAGGTATGCCAGAACAAATACTTCATCCTTTTTTTCCCCTAACATTTTCATATATGAAAATATATTTGAGTCCTCCCTATTTTTAGGGTTCAGAGAAAGGACAGGATATACCACTTCCAGAGGAGCTTGTTTTCACTGTGGATAAGAAAATATTAAATGACATCAACCAAGCAAAAGCCCAGTACCTCAAACAGGTAGATTTTTCACTTTCTCCTAGACAGTAATGCTTTCTCTTTTGAATACCACATACATAAATGTGGCTCTCACACAAGCATTCAACATAAAACATTTTAAAATGACAACTTTAATACCTTTAATCCTGTATGTCTGATGATCACTTTAATGCAAATGATAATTTGTTTCTCTTTGGGGGTATTGTCCTTAGTGATTTTTCACTGTCATATTCTTTATTAGGCATCTGATCTACAAGTTGTAGCATATGCCTTCACATCTTTTGGCAAAAAGCTAACCAAGAAGAAGATGCTTCACCCTGACACATTTATTCAGCTTGCACTTCAGCTGGCCTACTACAGATTACATGGAAGGTGAGGACCATGTGTTTCCATTTTCAGAATCTTTTACATAACAATTCATTCTAACTCCTAGTGTTCTTTCTCACTTTGTACCTTACTTTGTGCTTTCTTCAATAGTATATATTTATATCTATATCTATATTAGTATATACTAATATATTATTGGTATATCTGAGACATTTCACAGATTTTCTTTGATATTTTATTTATCACATGAAAAGTATTCATGTGATACTTTTGAAGTGCTTGATCTCTTCTACAAGAGGCTTTTCCATTTATTGGCATTCAGATCACTTGGTTTTCTTGCATCCTGTTTACTGATAAGTTATGAAAAGTTATGATTTTGTAGATTATACAGACTTTACTCACTTTTAGAGTAGGAGGGACACCATATTGTGACTTTCTGTATCCTAGGCAGAAGTGGAAGCCCCTTTATCTTTTATGTCCAATCTGATAATGTCTGTCTTAAATGAGATGATTAATTTGCATTTAGTATAACCACCAATAAAGTTGTGTTTAAGTCTACCATATTGCTGTTTATTTTCTCATCTTTATTTCTTTTTTGTCTTCATTTGAATTCTAGAAGTGCATTTTTTGTGTCATTTTATCCCTGTCAGCTCTTCAAGTAATTACACTAAGGTTTAGAAATTTATATCTTTAACTTATCACAGTCTACCTTCATGCTTCATATATTTTCCACTTCAGATATAATGTAAGAACCTTAAACTAGAATGCTTCTGTTTCCCTGTTCCCAGTGTTCATGTTGTCATATGTTATATTTCTACATGTTATAACTCTGTAATGCCCTTTTAGTATATTTGCACTAAGCAGATTATAATGCTTTATTGTGGGAAACACATACAGCATGAGATTTGCCATTTTAACTTGTGTGTACACACGTGCATGTGTGTGTGTGAGTATGTGCATTGTGTGGTATGTGCATGCGTGCGTGTGTGTGTTTGTGGTGTGTGTGCGTGTGAGAGTGAGTGTATGTGAGTTTGTGTGCATGTGTGGTGTGTGTGAGTGCATGCATGTGAACGTGAGTGTTTGAGTGCATGTGTGCATGCATGTGTGTGTGTGGTATTCGGGTTTGAACTTAGGGCTGTGTGCTGCTAGGCAGGTGGTCTGCCACTTGAGTTGCACTCCCAGCTCTTTTTTGCTTCATTGATTTTTCAGATAGGTTCTTATGTTTTTGTCCTTGGCCAACCTGTCCTCCTACCTATGCCTCCTATGTAGCTTGGATTACAGGTATATACCGCCACTCCAGCTTGTTGCTTGGGATGGGGGTCTCAGCAACTTTTTGTTCAGGCTGGTCTTGACTGTGATCCTCCTGATTTCCTTCCACATAGAAGGGACCACAGGTGTGCACCTCCGTGCCTGACCCACCATTTTAAGTATTCACTATGGTATACACTCCTTGAAAGAATTGAAAATATCTCCCAGGTAGTAGGATTTTAGGTATGAGTCACCATGCCTGGCGTATTTTCACCTTTTCACTATCATGAATAGTGCTGCTATAACCATCAACGTACAAGTATCTGTTTTGAATCCGGTTTTTAATTCTTTTGAGGAGTAGAATTGTTGGGATGTGTTGTAATCCTGTGTTTAACTTTTGGAGGAACTGCCAAACTATTTTCCATATAGTTGTATCACAATGCAGAACTTCCAGTTCTCCCTATCCTTGCCAACTGTTATTTTAAAAATTGTAGCCATCCTAGTATTCATGAGATGTATCTCACTCTGGTTTTCCTGTGTATTCTGTAATGACTGTTGAGGAGTATCTTTTCACATGTTTATTGGCTCTTTGTATATTTGACAAAATACCTGGTCAGTTCCTTTGCACATTTGTTCATTGGGTTTTTCTTTTGTTGTTAACTTTTAGGAGTTATTTATATTTTCTGGACATGAAACCTTTATCACATATATGACTTACAAAAATTGTCTGTCATTCTGCAGATTGACCTTTTGCCCTCTTAGTAGTGTCCATTGATGCACAGTTTAACATTTTGATGCAGTCCAATTTTTTTCTATTTTTTTTCTTTTGCTGCTTGTGCTTTTGGTATTATATTCAAGAAATCATTACCAAATTCAGTGATGAAGCATTTGCCCTCTGTTTTTTTCTAAGTTGTGTTTGTGTGTACATGTGTATGTGTGGAGAGAGAGAAAGAGAAATGATGCAGTCTGAGTCCATTCCTGAGAAGTAAGTTAAGTGGCATGGGGGTCATGATGGTCCAGTTCTGCAGGCCCAAGGTTCAGGAGCACCAACGTCTGAGAGCAGGACAAGGTGGATGCTCCTGCTCGTATGTGGCTTTGCTCTTCCTTTGTCTTGTTTTTCTGTTTGGACCTTCAACAGATTGGATAATGCTCACTTATGGTCTGTAGATTCAAATGCCACAATATTTTGAAAACACCCTCATAGATACACTCAGAAATGAGTTTTACTAACTATCTGGGTGTTCCTTCATCCAATGAAGTTAATGTATAAAATTAGCCACCAGAGTCCAATTTCATTCTTTTGCATGTGGATATCCAGTTTCCCCAGCATCATTGAAGATTTGATGCTTGCTTTCAATTGAATGGTCTACATATCATTGTTGAAAATCATTTGACAAAAGGTCACTGAATAGATGAACTTAAACAGTATTTTAACCCTCTTAGTGCCCACATTCAGACCTTTCACTCTCCCTCCACTTGATCTCATCTGAGCATAAATGCTAGCGACTGGACAAGTAAGAGTACTTTATATCTAAAAATTATGTATCATTCACTAGTTTTGGGAACAGATACCACTCTTAGGAACTTAATGCTTCTACTTAATTCTAGTTATCTGTGTTCTATATGAAGAAGCAAAAGCCAAGGACTTTGTATTATCTATTTCTGTTATAAATTATCCTAAAATGTAATGACTTAGAATATGAACATTCATCATGTCACATTTTCTAAAAGTCAACAATCAAGGCACAGGTTAGCTAGATATCTGTCTCATTTGTGTGGGCATAGTGTCAACTAGAGCTGAGTTTTTATTTATAGGTTTCCTGAGGGAGAATCTATGTCCCAGTTTACTCACAAAGTTATTAGCAGGACTCACTTTCTCCCTAACTTTTGTTCAGAAGGTTTCCTTCAGTTTTTGCCACCTGTACCTCTCCAGTGTGCCAACTGGGTTTCCTTAGAGCAAAGAAGTAAGAGCAACAGAGAGCTTTTTTTTAATAACCTGATTTCAAATGTGACATCGCATCACTTTTGCTGTATTCTGTCTAGAAGCAAGTCACTAAATCCAGCCCACACCCAGAGTGTACCAGAGCATAAACAGCAAGAGTTATGGATCATTCAGGGCCATCTTGGAGGCTGCCTACCTTAGACTGCAATGTATATAACCTGAGAGCAGCCAATCCTTTGAAATAGCCTATGTTATCAGAGCATTTTCTTGCTCTTTAGTTTTGAAAAGATTCTTTGTTATTCAGAGTCTCAACTATACTGTGAATTGTACAACTTCTTTTCTGAACAGAGTCAGCTTTATTAGGTAACTGTATTTGTAATAACATTAAAGAATTTTCTTTTTTATGATACACTTGAAATTTTTTTCATAGCCCTGGTTGCTGCTATGAAACAGCCATGACAAGATATTTTTATCATGGTCGTACAGAGACTGTGCGCTCATGTACAGTAGAAGCAATCAAGTGGTGCCAGTCCATGCAGGATCCTTCTGCCAGCGTAAGTATTAGAAAAGAAAAGTTTGAAGGATTTAATTATTTTAAAGGAACCTTAGCCTTTGAATAACTAACTTTTGCTTCAGTTTCCCTGGATCATTAAAATACTTTAAGACATACTCTCTGAAGTGTTCAGAGCATGTGTTCTTTTGCCAGTGAAGTATATGCTAAAAAACTGAGAAGACCTAAAGAGAAACACATTTGTGTCATTTTCTAAGCAGTGTCTTTAGTACTCTTGAATATTTTACTACTGCTGATCTACCTTTAGAAAACCACCAGAAAAATGCAGAATTTTCCTACCATACCTTTAAAAGGAAGCTTTTCCTCATGTGGTTAGTTGAGTGTTTTTGACATCACAGATTCTGGTTCTTGTTTGAAATCATTTTTCCATAACAGGTGTGTATGTTTTGTTTTGAATTTTTTTGAAGTATATTAGACAATGGTGTATTTCTTTACTACTATTATTTTGGCGTTTTGCTTATTTCTTTAGTTTTGATAGATATGATTCATGTATGTGTTTATTTTCATAGAAATTTTTTATTACCACTTTTGTAGTTATGCTTTTGTTCTGAAATCATAGTTGTTTCTGTTTTTATGTATGTCAGTCACTTCAGTGCTGCCTACAAGTTCCTATCTTCCTATTCCAGGAGTGAAGTAGGGTATACATGGAAGAAAAGGCAATAGAAGGATTAAGGAAAGACAGAAGCATGTGTTGCAGGGCTACGTAGAAATCTTTTCTGTCCCAGATTACCCAAATCCTAGTTATAATGAATTTAGGTTTTGTTTGTTTGTTTAGTTGGGTTTTAAACAGTTTGTTATTGAAATTTAGTTTCTTGATTTGTATTGAAACTTGGTTGTCCTCATTTTTAACACAGTTTCTTGAGAAGCAGCAAAACATGTTACAAGCTTTTGCAAAGCATAATAAAATGATGAAAGATTGTTCAGCTGGAAAAGGTACTTACATTGAAACTACTATGACTTTTAAAAAAATCTCTTCAGTTGAAAACTTTTTCTAACTTCAGATTTTGGATTTTATTGCAGGATTTGACCGGCACCTTTTAGGTCTGTTACTCATAGCAAAAGAGGAAGGCCTCCCTGTTCCAGAACTCTTCACTGACCCACTTTTCTCCAGAAGGTAATAATAGTGTAGTGTTTTATAGCTTCTATGAATCAGCTTCTTTTTCTGAATGTTAAAAGTTCTTCAAAAATAATATAAGAATCTGTATGCCTATAAAATATCCTTTCTTTGTGCCATACAGTGGAGGAGGTGGAAATTTTGTTCTCTCAACAAGTCTGGTTGGTTATTTGCGAGTTCAAGGAGTGGTGGTTCCCATGGTACACAATGGATATGGATTTTTCTACCATATCAGAGATGACAGGTGAGGCTCTTTTTTTGTTCTTACTGAGTGGAGTAAGAAAGGTATCACATTTGTTATTTGAATATTTTTCCTACACCATGATTCTGATTATGTTGTCACCTGTCACTTGCTGCATAAGTGACTTTTATTGCCACTTTGGTATTCACTGTGTGTTTGTTTCTCTGTCATGCTTCTCAGACACTTGTGAAACCAATCCTTTAGGAGTTTTTATATAGAATACTTTCCAGGTTGTTTCAATGATCATATGATCACCTTCAAAATCAGTATATTCTTTAATATATTTAGCCTATACAAAGTATTTTTTTATAAGTTCAGATTAAGATTTGTAAATATTTTTTGGTCAGCCATATTGATGGGCTCTAGACCAACAGATTAAAGGAAGTAGGCTTAGAGATACTTCAGATGGCATGCAGAAAATTGGAATGTTTTTATACTTTCCTCTTTTAAAAGATTTTAGTATTTTCTCAAAATTTTATCATTTGCTTCCATGTCAAGTGTGATTTGTGCATAGTAGTTATACAATGGTACTTGTTATTGTTGACTTCTAAGTCCTTAAATTATATATTCCCATAATAGTCAGTTTGTGTACATCAGTGTACAGTTAAAAACTGAATGATAAAAGCTAGACATGGGTCTTTTTTTTTTTTCATAGAAAAAGAGTCAGAGGTCTAAAATCATTCACAGAGAGTAAGTAAGAATTCTAACATGCTCCTTGACAAATAGGAGATTCTATGTTCTATGCAGTGATAAGAGTTTAGGCTACATATTTCACAGCTCTCTGACTTTGAGAAAACTCTACTGTTAATGATCTTGGGGAAGAATTTCCATCTACTTACTCAGGAAACATTTAGTGGTATAGTCTATAGTGTATCAGGTATTGTTTTGGTGCTAAGAACAAAAAAAATCCCCTTTCTTTAAGATTTTACTTTCTACCTAGATATAGACAAAAGCAAACAAAAAATAGGTTTCAATAGTCATGAATGCTGTACAGGAAAATAAGCAATTTGGTGTGGTTATAGAGATTTACTGCTAGGGAGGTGGTGCAGTGCTTCATACAGTGTGGTGAGTGACTATCTCTGGAGAGTGATAAAGCTGAGACATTAAAGAGAAGGAAGTAATTCTAAGTATAGACAAGGAAACAACTGTCTAGAACCTTGACTATGCTTACGCTCTTCTCCGCTTCTACCCAAGCCAAGCCACCATCTTCATCCACGCGGTCTATTGCACCTGGTTTCTATGCGATCATCTTGTTTCCACTTGGGCTTTCCTACAGACTACTCACTACACTGAAGCCCTGGGGCCTTCTAAAAATATAACTCAAGTCCTGTCACTCTTCCACTCAAAACCTTCCAAGGGTTTCCCACTTCACTCAACATAAAATCCAAAGTCCTCCTATGAGATCCTATATGATCTAGCTCTCAATTGCCTTCCTGACTGTATCTTCTACAACTCAGTCTTTCACTCCAGCTACACTGGACTTGTTGATTCTTAAATGTTCCAAACAAGCTCCCTCCTCAGGTATTCATAATTATGATCTCCTCTGCCTAGTATTCTCTTCCTTAAGATATATGCAAGGATAATCTGCCCTTACTCCATATAGACATTTCTTCAAATGTCACCTCATCTGAGAGGTCTTCTGCGACTATCTGAAATATAAAAATAGCACTTTGTCTCCCCTCTATACACCTGCTGCTTTTTCTTTATAGTCTTAAAAAATACCTAGTGTGTGTGTGTGTGTGTGTGTGTGTGTGTGTGTGTGTGTAAAATCTATTTTTACCTCCCTGGAATGTAAGTTCCATAAGAACAGGGTGTTTGTTTCTATATCCCCAACTCTGTAACAATGCCTCATAAATACGATGCAGTCAGTAAATATTTTCAGAGTAACTTTGTTGAAAAAAGTGTACAGGTCCTAGGAAAAGAAAGAATTGGTACTTAAAAGGGGCAGAAAGAAGCAGTATAGCTGTAAATTAGCAGTTGAGGGAAGGGTGACAGTAGAAGTTAAAGAGGTAGACAGGAGTTAATCTTGTTAGGACAGTGTTGTTGACCCTGAGTACATAAGAATCACTTGGAAAGCTTAAAAAAAAAACAAAAGAAAGAAACTGGAGATACTGGTATGTAGAGCCTTGTAACATAAGGAGTTTGAATTTTCTATAATAATAGGGAAGCATTTCATACATTTTAAGCCTGGAAGTTACATGTTTTACTTACATGTAACAGTATCATTGGCTGCTATATGGAGTATAAATTGAGTGGACAGAAACATGGACAAGAATGAAATGAGGGGTGTTAGGAACTGTCTTAGTCCAAAAGAATACCTGAACTTGGTAATTTGTAAAGGATTGCTGATTCTGATGATGGCATTTACAAGGATGGGGAGAAACTGGTTTGGAAATATGTTAGGATAGACTCAAGAATAGTGTTTTATACATGTTGATTTGGAGAGTCTTGCTAACACCAGAACCCATTATATTCATGCACAAGAGCATATTTCAATAGGAGGTGGATACTTGACTGTGGAGCACACAGAGGTAGAGGTATACATTTATGAGTCATTTGGGTATATACAGGTATACCGAAAGTAGTTTTCAGATAAAATACCTGAAAATTGTGTGGAAGAATTTTTTTCCAATTCATTGTTAAATTTGAAATTTGTGTGACTTAAAGAATAGTAGTTTAAAATAGCATTTTTCTTAAATGTACTATATTCCACTGTAAAAAATTTATAAATATGAGGAAAGTTATCCATATTTCCATTATAAGGCACAAAACAATTATTGTATAATGTTTCCAATCTTACTGCAGACTGTGTATAGAATTTTCACTAATTTAAATATGTAATTTTTGTTCATTTTGTGATTTCATTTTCACTTAAGATCGTTTCAGATTCCCAATACTCATTAAATATGCTTCAAGTACACTTTTAAAGATTGAATAATTTCCACCCTTCCATATCAGAGGACTTATGGCACTTAGTGAGGAATAATTTGAAATGTTCTGTAAGAAAAGCTACATAATTTCTCACTGTTTCCTTATCTTCTTTCCTGTCATTACAAATAATTTGTTATGAATATTTTCTCATTTTGTTACAATCATTGCCAACACTAGGTTTAGAGTATTTTACTGACTTGATAGAAAAGATAATCTTAGATTCTTTGTTTACTTATAAATTAACCATTTTTCATTATTATTGGCATTTATGTTTCTTTTGTGACTCTTTTAAATAGGAAAGGGTGTTTCTATAATTTAGAAAGAAAACTGAATTTTAAAAAATTTAATAATCTGTGGAAATATGTGACTGTTGCTAAATACTTGGGAATTCCATGCACAGTATAGATGGGAAATGACTGTAGGTGAATCACTAGGTGAAAATAGGAAAGGTTCCTGCATATTTTCAGTGAATATAAATCAAAAGTTGGTTTCGTAACACTAGGGTGCAGCTCAGTGGTGGAGTGCTTACTTAGCTTTCATAAGGCCCTGGGTTCAGTCCACCAAAAAATAAAAAGTTTTGGGGTTAGATATATCTCAGTGGTAGAGCACTTGTCTAGCATGTGTGAGCCCTGGGTTCAATACCAAAAAGAAAAGACAAAAAAAAAAGTTTCATCATTACATATGGGAATTGAACATGTTTTTATTTCATTCTGATGAATCTGAAGCCCATGTTGAAGACATAATTTGCTATCTTTTTTCAGCAATGTGAAAATTGCATGGTTGTCCAGAAGCTGTACACTACACATTTTGATTTTGAGCTTTATTCATGTTCTTCATAAAAACTAATGAGTGTCTGTGAAGGAGAAGGCTAGTTCACAAAAGTTAGGAACCAAGTTTTCTATTCTGAGTCCAGCAGAAGCCAGGCTCCTCTCCTATTTACTTCAGCTTCCTGAGGCAAGATTTGGTTCAAAGACAGCATCTAAAAATAGCTTTCCCACCTCTGGTTCTTCTAAAAATAGCTTTTCCCACCTTTTATCTATCTCTGTTTTTCCTTTTAAAATACATTTTTTAAGTGCTGTACTTTTTTTTAAAAGTTCAATTTTTTTTTTTATTGTGCTGGATGGGGGTACATTATGGCATTTATAAAAGTGCTTACAAGTATCAAATATATCATGTTTGAATTTACCCCCTCCACCACTCTCCTTTATCCCCCCTCCCAACATGAATTCATATTCCAACTCATTCTAGTGGTACTTTATAGAAAGGTTTTTGTTGTTGTTATGTTGTGAACACAACAAGGGCTTTAGCGCCCTCTTGGGCTGTAATTTTTTTTTTTTTTTTTTTACAGTTACTTTTATTTTTTATTTATTTATTTATTTTTTTCCATTTTTCTTTTATTATTCATATGTGCATACAAGGCTTGGTTCATTTCTCCCCCTGCCCCACCCCCTCCCTTACCACCCACTCTGCCCCCTCCCTCTCCCCCCCCCAATACCCAGCAGAAACTATTTTGCCCTTATTTCTAATTTTGTTGTAGAGAGAGTATAAGCAATAATAGGAAGGAACAAGGGTTTTTGCTGGTTGAGATAAGGATAGCTATACAGGGCATTGACTCATTGATTTCCTGTGCGTGGGTGTTACCTTCTAGGTTAATTCTTTTTGATCTAACCTTTTCTCTAGTACCTGTTCCCCTTTTCCTATTAGCCTCAGTTGCTTTAAGGTATCTGCTTTAGTTTCTCTGCGTTAAGGACAACAAATGCTAGCTAGTTTTTTAGGTGTCTTACCTATCCTCACCCCTCCCTTGTGTGCTCTCGCTTTTATCATGTGCTCATAGTCCAATCCCCTTGTTGTGTTTGCCCTTGATCTAATGTCCACATATGAGGGAGAACATACGATTTTTGGTTTTTTGAGCCAGGCTAACCTCACTCAGAATGATGTTCTCCAATTCCATCCATTTACCAGCGAATGATAACATTTCGTTCTTCTTCATGGCTGCATAAAATTCCATTGTGTATAGATACCACATTTTCTTAATCCATTCGTCAGTGGTGGGGCATCTTGGCTGTTTCCATAACTTGGCTATTGTGAATAGTGCCGCAATAAACATGGATGTGCAGGTTGGGCTGTAATATTTTTGTTCCCTTTTGTTCTTCAGCTCTAATCATCTAGTGAATTACAGGTACCCTAGCATTATATATAAATATTCCATCTTCAATAGTGTCAGGTTACATATACCTAACATCAGCAGGAATCCACATTTCATGTCTGAACCGCAAGTGGAATAAAGGTACTGGCTCTATCCATCATCTCTATTTGGAGCTATCACATAATCATTCATCATGTGTTATTTGTGCTTCACAGGTTCGTTGTGGCTTGTACAGCCTGGAAATCATGTCTGGATACTGATGCAGAAAAGCTAGTTCAGCTGATTTTTTGTTCTTTCCATGATATGATGCAGCTGATGAACACTGCTCATCTTTAGAGATTAGGCACTTACCAAATGTATCAATAAGCCGGGTATTGAGATTGAATTGGTGATATAAGGTATGAGGGAATGTTGACTTAAAGAAATTTGTTAAGTGTAGAAATGAGTAGAATCATGTTCTCTAAATTTTTTTCTGCCATGGAAGGTAGAAATATTTTAAAGCTTCCTCTGATGCAATAACAAAGCAAATTATGATATAGTGACTAGAACTATGCAGTGTTTAAGATAAGCCTCAACAATGCAAATCTACAAATTTTAACAATGCAAATCTTACTCTAATTTTAAAATATTTTGTTGGTACTTGTGTAGGTTACAAAATCCTTTCTGAACACATAGAATCTATCTTTCAAGCACTTTAACGTTTTCTAATTGCCAAAGGATATGAAATACATGATTGGATGCTGATTTCCCTAACATCAGTGCCTTCCATACTCACTACAGGGATACAAGCCTATTGTGTTTGATGAGAAAAACCACTGTAATTCAGTTCTGATCTAAAATAGTTTCTTTGAACAAACAGAAGAATTAGGTCAAAGTAGGGAGATTTATATCCTCTATAACATGCAAGAAAATCCTAACAAAATTTATTATGATATGTTGTAATTGTTTTGTGATTATAACAATAAAGCACATATTTAAAACTAATTATTTTCATGACTTATTTATTTATTTATTTATATTTTTGTTATGTCAGCTCTTCATTATTTATGTTTTTTGTCAATAAGGTGGGAATCTATTAAAGCATTAAAGAATTATTGCAGTAGAATAACGTTAGAAAATTTTTAAGTATTTTGGTTACTGGGTAAGGTAAAACTAATCTTTTAGGAATAGAGCCCATTTTTATTTATTTATTTTATTTTATTATTCATATGTGCATACAAGGCTTGGGTCATTTCTCCCCCCTGCCCCACCCCTCCCTTACCACCCACTCCACCCCCTCCCTCTCCCCCCACCCCCTCAATACCAGCAGAAACTATTTTGCCCTTATTTATAATTTTGTTGTAGAGAGAGTATAAGCCATAATAGGAAGGAACAAGGGTTTTTGCTGGTTGAGATAAGGATAGCAATACAGGGAGTTGACTCACATTAATTTCCTGTGCATGGTGTTACCTTCTAGGTTCATTCTTTTGATCTCACCTTTTCTCTAGTTCCTGGTCTCCTTTTCCTATTGGCCTCAGTTGCTTTTAAGGTATCTGCTTTAGTTTCTCTGTGTTAAGGGCAACAAATGCTAGCTAATTTTTTAGGTGTCTTACCTATCCTCACCCCTCCCTTGTGTGCTCTTGCTTTTATTATGTGCTCATAGTCCAATCCCATTGTTGTGTTTGCCCTTGATCTAATGTTCACATATCTCATGACTTTTTTAAAGAGTTGAATTTTGAATCAGATTCTTAAGATCTCACAGTTGTTTTCTCCTTGCTGTTCAGTTTGATGGTTACATTTTCAGAAAATAAAATACCACAAGTCATAGTTTGTTTTGTGTTTGAAAAAGTGATCCTGTTTGTTTTTTCTCATCTCACTTAGATATTGCTATGTAATAAACCAGTCAAAACTTAGTGATTAACAACTTACTCTTTCTCATGATTTTGTCAGTTGATTGTGTTCAGCTAGACTAGTTGTCTAGCTGAATTTATTTATACCTGAATTTATTTATTTATGTCTGAATTTATTTATATACCTGATATCATTAGGCTGTCAGGACTGAGACTGGAAGGTCCAAGATGGCTTCACTCACTGGGGACCTCACGACTAGTACTCTGTCTCTCCAAGTGGTCTCTCTTCATTCAGTATTCAAGATTGGGTGTCTGTACTTAACAATGGGAGTGTTCTGAGAGGTAAAGGTGAAAATTGCAAGAATTCTTATACTTGGGCTTTGAAGTCAAATAGTACACTTTTACATTCTGTTGGTTAAATCACAACTCAGAATAGAAATCCAGGTCAAGGGGTAGGGGAAAAGTATCACCTCGTGATGAAAACAAAGTCACTTTGTGAAAGAGTAGGCATAAAAGGCATGATTAATTGGGGGACATTTTTTTTATAACACTTTATCACACATTTAATATATGGATTGCAGTATACTTAGTGTACTGGTTGTCTTTTAAACCTTTTTATGTGCTCTGAATTTGATGAAGACTGCTTATTATCATTGTTTATCATTATAATAACTGACACATAAACTCCTTTACACTGGGTCAGGCTATCTTGAGAAGTACCAGCACTATTTCTTTGGAACACCATTAAGAGTTGGCTCCTATGGCACTTGATGCATCTTTTTCAGTTGTTATAGATAGACTAGAAGAGAAATCTGAATTTTTTTTCTTCATGCAATTTTGTAGACTAGCTATCCAGGGCACTTAGAAACATTTGGTTGTATTTAAATAATGTGTAATAAATTTGGGTATTTTAGAAACTGTGTCCCCTGTAGAGAAACCTTTCAGTCATGCCATACATTGTTCCTTAATTTGAATGAGGGTAAAAATCATCTGGATTGCTTTTTAAATATAGATTCCTGGCTCTCAGCCCAGACCTAGTATGTCAGAATTTCCAGGGACAAGAAGCTTCATGATCCTTCTCAGGCAGGTATGAGAATTAAACAGGAATAAGTTGAATACTGCTCACTTTGACTCAATGCACTAGTGCCTTCTTTTTCTCACTCTTGTCTCATCTAAAATTGAATCCACTTACATAAATGGTCACCTTTGAAAAATTCTCAGGTATTATCTGATTTACTACTGATACTTGGTATTGATGGTTTGCTGACCTAAACAATCTGCTAGAGCAATAAGAACTGATACTGCTATAGAAAATTATGGGGGAAACAAATGGAAAATTGTAGAAAAACATTTCACTGTGGCTAGCTTCCAATGCTTGTCTTAAATTTCTTTTTGCTTCCATCTAAATGTACCTTTCCTTTTTGCAGGAAAAGTAAGTAAATTTCCTGGGTAATGTAGGATATTATAAAAGAAACAATCAGTTTCTATAAAAATTTAGCATTTTGTATATTGTCAATGTTTCAAATTATGTTAAGAATGTGCACATTTTAAGTTAGTAAGTTTTTAACATTTTTTTAAAAAATAATACAACTCTTTCTGGGTAATGTAGGATATTATAAAAGAAACAATCAGTTTCTATAAAAATTTAGCATTTTGTATATTGTCAATGTTTCAAATTATGTTAAGAATGTGCACATTTTAAGTTAGTAAGTTTTTAACATTTTTTAAAAAAATAATACAACTCTTTCTTGCTTTCTGGAACAAATATGTGCTTTCAAGTTTAGTCTAAGACTAATTAGTTTTTTTTTCTTTTGGGTTTGGATGGTAAACCTGCAAATGTTTATTTAAAAACTTCAAAGGAGACCCAAGATGGTCATTAGAGGTACCTAGCGTACTCACCTCCTCCTCCACAAAGAAGAACCAAAAGGACAAGTGTGTACCTTCATTTTGAAGTGAGTGACCAAGAGAAAACACTAGAAGTCAGCAAGAGAGATTGTAATCTTACAAGATTCAGTGACCTGGAACAACAGCATAATAAGAGAAAGAAAATGCACTGGCATCTGCCACCAAGTTTGGACTGCTGTAGGAGCCAGAAGCCCTTGCATTATTACCATCTCTGATTCTCATCAGACATGCACTGTACTGGGTGGCCACCTATGAACCCGACCTGGCCCAGAGAGTGACTGTGGTCTAACCCTGCTGGATGCCCTGCACCATATGGAGCAAGAATGGAGGGTGAGATATAGAGAGAATGGAGGTACTGCCCTTGAGAATTGGGAGTTAGGGCACTTGCTGTGACCAAGCACATGGCCACTGGCATATGCACTTGTGCCAGTCCTTCAGGACTGAAGGGAGGTACCCATGTAGTCCTTGCTGTCCCTCTTTGCTGTTCTGCACTCAGACATAACTTACTGACAGGGGGAGAGGAAGTACAGTGGTCTCCTGCTTTGTGCACTAGGAGTGCTGAAGGGACCTTGACCAACTCTGGCTATGACTGTCCCTGCCCTTTGGGTGCATGCTACAGATGAAGGAGTCAAAGGTGGAGAAAAGCCCCAACTTTAGCCATTGTCCTGCCCCCAGACATGCATAGCTAAAAAAGGTGAGAAGAACTTTGCTAAGCACAAACCTTTGCCTAGGCATACACTGTCACTGTCAGAGAGGAACACCATGGTTCTTTCTGCCACTCTACCCACACAGTTCTTGCTGCCTTCCACCTTGACATCTTGTTTGACCATGCTACTGTCAGGTCTGGTGAGCAGCACAGAGCTGATGCTGCAGGTCTTTGCCACCACCTGTTCCCACATAGCATCTGTCTATACCACTGACTAGTTAAGAAGAAAATGCCCCAATCCCCACCGCTGGAGCTTCCATTGTCACAGCCCGTTGCTAGTAGCAGAGATGGTATCAACAATGCCTGAGGAAACCTCTGTTGTCTAATAGAGGACACCAGTCCCATTGTAGGAGTAACCATATAGTGAGCACCTTACAGGTAATGCTGTCTGGACCACACTTGCCTGAATTGGTGAGTGTCCCACGTTTGCATGGCCTTCAAAGACAGTGGGGTTCTCTTAACTCTACCACAGTATGCACTGTGTCCAAAGTCATCAGTCACAGCCAAAGAAGATGTAGGAAGATTACACTGTAGTTCCCACCTAGAAATTAAAGCCAACATTGCATAACAAACTAATATCCTAAGAAATATCTTGAGGAGAAAGCCAATTAATAAGGTCATCCATGAAAGTGGCAGAGACAATCTACCAAATGCACAAATCTCAATGAAGTAGCACAAGAAATGTGGAAAACAAAATAATGTCTCCAAAGTAATGGAATGCCTCTGTTGCTGTAAGTCTATAGCAACAGATCCTAATGAAGTCAATATGGATAAAATGTATGATAAAGACTTTTTAAAAAGGATTTTTAAAAAGCTCAGTGGGATCCAGGTGAAGATAACCAGTTAACACAAAATTAGGAAGACAATGCAGGTTATGAATGAGAATTCAGCAAAGAGACAGAGTTTTGAAAAAGAATTAAACTTTGGACATGGAGAACTCATTAAGTCAAAAAGTAAAGTTGAAAGTCTTAACAACAGACTAGATCAAGCAGAAACAATCTGAACCTGAAAAGTCTTTTGAAACATCCTAATCAGACAGACAAAAAAAATTCAAGAACTTTGGGCACCTTAAGCAAACAAATAGTCATACTTTTGGAATACATAAAGGTGAAGAGAAAAAGGTTAATGGCATAGGTAACCTATCCAATGAAATAGCAGAAAATATCCATAATCTTGGGAAAGAAATGTGAATTCATGTACAAAGAGGTTTATAGGAGTGCAAATAGAAATGACCAGATAAGATGTTCATCAAGGCATATTATAGGCAAATTCTCAAACATATGAGAATTACAAATTTTGTAAGAGGAAAGTCACACTTAAAGAGTATCCCTATTATATAACAGATTTATCAGCAGAACCCTTACAGGCCAAAAGGAAGTATAATGGTGGATTCTAAGTCCTGGAAGAAAATAACTGCCAACCAAGGATACCACATTAGCAAGGATATAATGTAAAGGAGA